TACATGCATACACATAAAATAAAAATAATAAACAAAATATTTTAAAACGAAAGTGTCACGTCTTCATCTTCTGGTAAGCAACCAAGAGCACGGGCAATAGTCTATGTTGTTTGGGGGTCTCTGGGACCGCCCCTCAACAACTTGAACAGAGGTATCTCCTGCCTTGCAATGGGGTTTTTGTTAGGCAGTCTATGTCTCCTAGGGTGTCGTGTTCAAGCCACTAGATGGCTCATGCCTTTGGATGGGCTGGAGTTGAGGTGCAGCTGCTGTGGCTGCCACTGAGCTCTTTGCTTGTTCACTGAGCTGTTTCCACTCTGGTCTGTGGACTCGTAAATGCCTCACCACAGGGTGAGCCCCAGGGATAGCTCTGCTCAAGGTTTTCGGGTCCCCTTTATCCAAGTGGCATTTCCACCGACTCATGCTCCAGGAGACGCTGCAGTGAGCCCAGGCCTCCCGCCCCTCAGTGCTGCTATCTTGCATCGACCACGATCTCAGATCTTCTCTTCCTGTTTGTCCCACTGTGTATATTGGGAAGGATAAACCCACACCAGCAACAAAGGGAGTCATTTAAAGAAATATTTTCAGGGCTAGAGAGATGGTTCAGTGGTTAAGAACACTAATTGTTCTTGCAGAAGACCTGGGTTCGAATCCCAGAACCCACATGGCAGCTAACAACTGTCTGTAACTCCAGTCCCAGGGAATCTGACAGCCTCTTCTGTCCTCCGTGGGCTTTGTCCGACATGCCTGCACTTACCAACATGTAAGCAATACCTGCATACACATAAAATAAAAATAATAAATATTAAAAAAAGAAATATTTTCAGTGTCCAAAGTCATGGGTCTCGTTATGACATTTCTCCCATGTATTTGCATCACTGTCCTCTGCTCCTGTTTACCCCACCAGTCCCTCTTCCCCCTGATAGTCCCCTTCGGCTTCATGTCATGGGGTCTAGATTCCATGTCTGAGAGGCATCATCTGGGGTTTGTCTCTCTAACTCTCTTCCTCCCCTCCTTTAATTCCACTTTTGATACTAGGTTCATTTCTTTTTTTACTATTAGTACTGTTATTACTTGTTAATATTGTTTAAATTATTTTAAATTAGTATTTATTTGATTTTTCCATGTATATGTCCACATGTGTGCATGTGTGTGAAGTAGATGTCATGTGTATGTCCACGTGTGTGCACACATGTGTGAAGTAGAGATGTCTTTCTCAATTGTTCTCCACCTTATATTTTGAACCTGAAGCTCGGTGATTCGGCGAGACTGGCTGGCAGCCCCTGGGGTCCTCCTGTCTCAGCCTCCCCTGTGCTGGGATTACTGCAGTTGCACCCTGCTGTTTGGTCCTGAGGGATAGAACGCAGATCCCTGTGCTTACACGGCAAGAACTTTACAGACTGAGCATCGCCTCAACCCTATTCATTTATTTTTAATTAACATGCGAAAGTAGATTTTCTTGTGGCATTTTCAAACACTGTTTTTGCTCCTCCTCCTCCCTCCCTCCTCCCCCCATCCTCCTGACACCCGTCCCCTTCCATCCCCATAACTGCCTCTGTGCTCTCCTGTCACGTGTGTTCTGTCCTTCTCTTCCTGAACACCTCTCCCCTCCTCCCCCGTCTTGTGGTCCCCTTCCTGTGGTCTGCTTCAGGGCAGGCTCAGGCAGCTCTGCATGTCGGCCACTCATCCAGCTGTAGGGCAGAGGTCACGCCACTTCCTCCTCTCCGCTCACAAAGTGTTAAAAGCATAAAACCAAGATGTGATCTGAGGAAACCAGATGTCTAGAAAAGCTATTCTCGGCAGCTGACATTTTCAGGACCCGTTTTTGAACTGCTTTTCTTTTTACACACCTTGAATCTCTGGCCACAACAAGATAGCTATTTTGCTTTATTGTACATGACTCCTTTGTATTCCAGGGTGTAGAAAAAAAATCTATTTTAGTCAATTCCTCAAGTCTCGGGTGATGCTGCTCTCTCCACAGAAGCAATACTGATGGCTGATGTGTAGAAAAAAAATCTATTTTAGTCAATTCCTCAAGTCTCGGGTGATGCTGCCCTCTCTCCACAGAAGCAATACTGATGGCTGACGTTTGGCCACATTAGACATGCTGCCCCTGCCCACAGGACAGGGTGGAGAGGGGATCTCGACAGCACTGAACTACCCAGCTGCCTGTGAGCATCACAGACCTGTGTACATAGCTTGAGGCCATGGTCCCACCCGTGTTGGCTGACTGCCACCTTACAATGATCCAGCGAGAAGCATCTTACATTTGCCCGTTTCACAACAAGAAAATAGAGGGCAGAGGATGAATAGCCCTAGGCCTCGCCATCCGTGTCAGACTCTGGGCCTCTGAGCATGACTCAGAGGTTTTAATGCTCAAATGGCTGCTATTTTTAGTCACACAAGTATAAGGCCATATGGTTAGATACAATCACTTCCTGTTCTCAGAACAACCTTTGCTCTAGTCAACAGCCTTCCTGTGACTCTGGAGTCCAGTCTGTGTGCTATGCAGTCACGCCTCCAGATCTGCTCAGGTGGGTACCAAGATCCTGGGACTACTCAAGTCCCTTACAGAGAATGGAGTGGCCTTTGCATACACCCTGCACACATCCTCTACGAAATACAGACCGTCTCTGCATGACTCACAGTGCTTAACACAGCGGGCTCAGCTGATGACACCGTCTATTACATACTCTGTGTTGAACTATGCAACCTGCTGGATGTCTAACCCTCACCGGAACAGTTTTGTTGTTGTCAGAAACCATCTTTATGCAGTATTAGTTTACTGTGACTGTCATACAATGCTTACAGACTAGGTGGTTTAAGCATAGGGATTTATTTTCTCACAAAGCCAGAGGCTGGAGGCTGACACAAAGGCACCACTGGCCCATTTCCTTCCGGGACCTCCTTGACTTGCAGAGGGTGTCTGCCTCCGATGTTCTCACAGGCTCATCCTCTGTGTGTGTCCGTGTTTTGAGGTCCTTTTCTTAAAGGACTGGGTCCGTCCATCCCAATGACCTCATTGACCTCAGGTGCCTCTTTAAAGAGCCTGTGTCCAGGCCAGAAAGATAGTCTGGAGACAAAGGTTCTGCTTGAGTCTGACCACCCGAGTTGGATTCCCCAGAAGCCATGTAAAGGTGGGTGGAGAGACCCAAACCCACAAAGTTGTCCTCTGTCCCCCATATATGCACCGTGGCATATTTTATGTGAGCATGCCACACACACAGACACACACACACACACACACACACACACAGAACTATAAAAATTGTTTTAGAATAAAACCCTGTCTTCAAATACAGCCTCACGCTGAGGTACTAGGGGCCAGGACTTCCACAAGTCTTCCTGAGGGCACCACCTGGCCTACAACAGTGGTGGCTCTTTCTCATGGGAGGAGAACAGTGAAGTGTTGCTAGGGGTCACACCTTCCCTGTCTCCCTACTTTGTTTTTCTAGAACCCGGTGACTGAGTGGGAACAGATGCTGGAGCCACAAGGTGCTTAGAAACAACACCACCACGCTCAGGAATTGGGGCGGGGCACCAGAGTTCCTTTCTTCCAACATCCCCCTCACCAGGAAGGAATCAATGTGGGTTTGGCCAAGGAAAGATGCACTTCCCGGATGGTGCCAGCAGGGGTCAGATGAGCTGGCTCGCATAAAGGGCAGGTCCAGGAAAGAAAAAGGCCAGCAGAAGGATCTTCCTCTCCTGCTTCCTCCCTTCCTCCCACCCCACCAACATTCTTTCTTGCCCTTCCCTCCCTCCCTCCCTTCCTCCCTTCTTGTCTTTTTTGTTGTGTTCTGTAAATGTGAGTTCTAACTTTCTTAGCCAAAGAACTCCAAGAGTTTGAGGGAAGTGAACCTATAAAAATATTATTCTAACCACAGGCTTATTTTTAACCGTCTTCCCACACTCAGCAGTGATGTGAATAGTAATGTGGAAGAGCAGGTTGACAGGGTGAAGAACTCTTCCTTAGTCCAAGTTCAAGGCCAGCATTTCTATTCTCCCTCCCTCTCCCTCTCCCTCTCCCTCTCCCCCCCCTTCCTCCCCTCCTCCCTCCCTCCCTCCCTCCCTCTCTTCCTCCCTCCAGCCACAGCCAATGGCACAGCGGTGGAAAATTACCAGCCCTTTGGAGCAGGGTTAGTGAAGAAAGGACCATTTAAAAAATTTATCACGGTTGTGTGTGTGTGAATGACTGCAGTTTAAGGCTCCTACACACGGATGGTGGGGACCGGATAGCCTCCGGGGGGTTGGGAGGACACCATGCGGGTCTTCCAAGCCAGAGCCACTGCTGGGCTCGCACCCTCACAGGCACACTTCCCTGCGCCAGTGGCCCCATTAGGTTGGGGACTCCCTCCTTCCACTTACAAAGCCCCCTGTCCCCACCTTGTTGAGAAGGAAGGAGAAGCCAGAAAAGACCCGCACAAAGTGTGTGTTGGGGGAACAGATACTTATGTCTAAGCTCTTGTACAACAGCCATGATGTATCTGGAAAGACAGAGGCTGAGGGAAGCTAAAAAGTGACTCCCAAAGATGTCCACATCTGAACCCCTGGGGCTATGAACACAGGACCTTCATGGCTAATGGGACTTTGCAGACACAGTTGTCAAGGACCTTGAGATGGGAGAAGATCCTGGATTAGTGAGCACAGTGCATCGCAAGGTCCTTGTGAGAGGGAGGCAGGAGGCTCAAGGAAGAGGCTACGTGACCTGGAAGCAGAGGAGAGAAAAGAGAGAGAGAGAGAGACAGAGAGAGACAGAGAGAGACGAAGAGAGAGACAGAGAGACAGAGAGACTGAGGTGCCTTAGAACTATATTCCCCAAGTTGGTTGATTTGTAAAAGAATATTATCAGTGTTATACTAGGAGGTAGAGACCTGGAAAAGTCTGGACAAAGAATCCTCTAGAACCCACAGAGGAACGGAGCCCACCAACCCAGTGTGGACACACTGACCTGCAGAACGGCAAGGGCAAGTCTGGTACTAGGAATGTGTGTTTCGGGTTCACTACGCTTGTGCCGGTGCCACGGCAGCAGCAGGAAACCAATGTTCATGAGCTGAGCCCAGCATCTTTCCCTCGTTCTGACCTGGTGGGTCAATACTTGTGCCATTTTATTGACTACTGTTCCTCCTCCAGCTGGTGTGGCCCGCCCTGGCCAAAGCCTGACTGGAATAAAGTAAGGGAGACGCCTAAGAACATATAAAATAGAAGGATGGCATCCTCCGAGTGTGAGGGTGGGGACGCTCCGGTTCCTGGACGTGAGGAGCTCCTCATTTCTCTGTCACCCAGCGCACATGCTGCGATGTGATGTCCTAACCTGGCCATCTGCTTGGGGCTCCACAGTTGTGCTTTCTGGACAGCAGTGACCAAAGTAAGAGTGGGTGGCGATGCTCCAGAATATCAAAGTGCGTCTTGTGCTTCTTCAAGTCCCGACAAGCTCAGAAGCTTGAATTCCTTCATAATCTTGGCATCTGACAGTCACGGCTTCATGAAAATCTTAAGGTCTACTCAGTTCCCCGAGATCCAGTTCCGCCAGTTAAAGGCCGCGTTGGCTCCATGCGTCAGCGTCTTCACTGGCGGGTTCACCAGCTCCCACTTCCCTTCCTCTCTGTTTTCTTCACAGAAACACATTCCCAGAGACGGGATCTGCAACAGAGTTTTAGAATGTTTATAACATTCTCTTACAAGCCAGTCGACATCAGGGTAGTTCTAAAGCCCACCGACAATGTCCCCGTGTGGAGAGGAGGGCGAGTCGGCCCCAGGCTGCCTGGGCATCACAGGACCAATGCAGCATCTCAGAAAGCTTTCACCTGGGGATGACCAGCCCTCCCAACCATGGGACCTTGTCACAACTTGCCTACCTGGTGAAGGCAAGGTGCTGCTAAGCATTCTGGGAGGCATGGGTCAGCCCTCCTCCTCTGGAGAATTAATTACCTGGCTTTCATGACCATAAGTTGGGGAGAACCCTCTTAACTAGCTCCAGCTTGCCTTATTCCATCTTTGGTTGTACAGAAAGGTGCAGGACTGAGGTCTGAGGCTGTAGGAAGGAGTACACAGTGAAACCTTTGACCTCCCTGCCCTCATGTGTAGAGGGAACCTGCTGGAAGAGGTCCTTGCTTTGGAAGCTCTTCTTTGGTGTGGTTCTGCCCTCCTTTCCCTCTTTGTGATGTCTAATTCCTTGTTCAGATGAAATTTGCAAAAAAGTTTCCAAGATGCACGGGGAACCTGACAGAAGCCGCTACTGACTCACGGACAAGTCATTTCATCTGCTTATTGGGCTGTTGGATGGGCTGTCGGGTGCACATCCAGGGTCCTGCGTGCTGACTGGAAGGCTAGTCTTTCAGCAGAGCCCTCGGCTCATTCTGATATGCTGGCTGTTTAATGAGTGGGATGTGCCAAGTGGTGAGCATAAGAAAGCCCTGGAGTTTAGAAGTTCATGGTCTTATTTTATCTCCTCTTCTTATCTTCCTCCTCCTCCTCCTCGTCTTCCTCGTCTTCCTCCTCCTCCTCCTCCTCCTCCTCCTCCTCCTCGTCCTCCTCGTCTTCCTCCTCTGACAGGGTTCTCTAGGTTGCCTAAGCTCAAGCGTTCACCTGCCTCAGTCTCCTGAGTAGCTGCGATGACAGCAGGCAGGTCCGCTATGGGAGCTCGTACCTGTACTTCTGTACCACGGCTTTGGGGCGATGGACTCCTGGCTTATTAAAGGGGCCATTTGTCTCACTAACAGAGTTGCAAGGAAATACAATGTGAACTGACTTTCAACAAATCTAGAAACTTCTTGGTATCATCGGCAGCAAAGGGCCAGGGTCGCCACAACTTTGATGAGGATGAGGCCTTATCCCACAGCTCCTGTGAGGGTGTGGGTGGGTACAGCCACTGGGGCCTGTGGGGCCTCTCAGCCCTGGGTTGGCAGGACACTTGTTTTCATGCTGAAAGGGGAGTGTGACGACCCTATGCCTGCTTGTGAGGCCCAAAGAGACACAAGAGGGACACACACCTTTCTCACCAGCTGGGCAAAATCCCCGCATTCACGGGGTGGGAGCCCGAGGAGTGGCCGAGTGCAGGAGTCCAGCGCTGAGCCGTGGCTCACGATGAGGATGACGCCCACTGTGAACAAAGATGCCTCAAGGTCAGAGCAGGCACACAGAGCACTTTGCACGACATAGGGCTCCCCCAAGTCACTGGGGAGGGGTGCAGCTACCAGGCCCCTAAAGGCAGTGTGGGTCAGGAAGCAGAAGTGGAAATGCTCAGCAGTGGTCCTGTTTCTCCCTTTCATCTGCAGTGATTCGGAATGCCCCCCCCCCCCCGCCGTGTGGGGCCCAGGTCAGTCAGCGGCAGCACCTCTTGTGGCAGGCGCCTGGGTCCTGTGTGTGAGGTGGCTGCCTCCCAGGCTTTCACTAACAGAGTTGCAAGGAAATACAATGTGAACTGACTTTCAACAAATCTAGAAACTTCTTGGTATCATCGGCAGCAAAGGGCCAGGGTCGCCACAACTTTGATGAGATGAGGCCTTATCCCACAGCTCCTGTGAGGGTGTGGGTGGGTACAGCCACTGGGGCCTGTGGGGCCTGTCTGCCCTGGGTTGGTGGGACACTTGTTTTCATGCTGAAAGGGGAGTGTGACGATCCTGTGCCTGCTTGTGAGGCCCAAAGAGACACAAGAGGGACACACACCTTTCTCACCAGCTGGGCAAAATCCCCGCATTCACGGGGTGGGAGCCCGAGGAGTGGCCGAGTGCAGGAGTCCAGCGCTGAGCCGTGGCTCACGATGAGGATGACGCCCACTGTGAACAAAGATGCCTCAAGGTCAGAGCAGGCACACAGAGTACTTTGCATGACATAGGGCTCCCCCAAGTCACTGGGGAGGGGTGCAGCTACCAGGCCCCTAAAGGCGGTGTGGGTCAGGAAGCAGAAGTGGAAATGCTCAGCAATGGTCCTGTTTCTCCCTCTCATCTGCAGTGATTCGGAATGCACCCCCCCACCCCGCCGTGTGGGGCCCAGGTCAGTCAGCAGCAGCACCTCTTGTGGCAGGTGCCTGGGTCCTGTGTGTGAGGTGGCTGCCTCCCAGGCTTGATCCGATCACTTTAGCTGGCTTATCATGATAAGCTTGAGATGCCTCGTGCTTTAGATAAGGATGCCCAGCATCCACAGGCTCAGAAAGCCTCTTCAGGTGACACGATGGGCTCCAGACACCTGGAGGGCACCTTGTTGACCAGCACTCTGTGTGTGCTTCATGTCCGACCGAGCAATGGTGGGGAAGCTGGGAGAGAGGCTGGTGGGCTATGGCTCACCCGCTGTACCCTCCTCAGACATTGGCTGCCATCACCCGGGCCTCTCTGGCTTCGTACAAGCTAATACAAAGCTTCGGGACATGGATGGTTTGTGATGCTCTTACAGCTCTGGATCCAAAGTTCTTACCCCCAGAACTGGGATCCTGGGTCCTGGTTGTGTGGAGTACATGTGCATGTATCCACTTCCTACCCCTTTGGAGATAAGATACTCTCTTGCTCAAAGCATGGTGGTGGGTGGGACATTAACAGCTTAGACACTGGGCCAAACTCCATCCCAGAGAACCCTAAGGCTGTTCCTCTCTGAGCTCTTGGGATACTCACAGTCCTGAGGGGAGGTGCTGACGATCTGCCCCACGCTTAGGGCACATCTGTCCACATACTGGTCGTAGCTCTCCGCTGGCATGAGGGAGCATCGGGGGAACGCAGGCCTGAAAGGAGAATAAAGGGGGAGATGGCTGCTGCCCTGGAGACTTCTGACAACTGGAGCATGTGCTGGTGGGGCCGGGAGGGACCATGAGGGTCCAGATGGCCTGTAAACAGGGCTCATGGGCTCATGGTCATAGAGGCTGCTGGTCAGTGGGGGCTCCTGGGTGTTTTCCATGCTAGCAGAGGACTGCTGTGCCCCAGCAGGAGTTCCAGGGTAGCAGTCCAGCTCAATCTGCCTGGGGACAAAGACCCTCGCCTTCACAAACCCATCAGGCTCCTCTGGACCCTCTTCTAGGTGAGACCCTGGCCTTTGGGCATGTTTCCATCTTTGTAGGGCCAGTTTTAGCAAGAAATCCCCATCCTCCATATGTGGTCAGGTTCCCCAGCTTTACCACACCAGGTGGCATCTGTTTGCTTGTAGCTGCCTTCAGTAGACATCTTGTTCCTGTGTTTTAGCAACATAGTTAACCCTTGAGCTGTTCCTTGTCTCCCCTGCATCCCAGCTGCCCACACTGTATTCAGATCTCAAACCTCCCTGCCCCCACTGCTGAGTCCCATTGAAGCAGTGACTTTTGAACAGTGGGCAGATTTTCTTTAGAACTAGAGAAGCCCCAGGCCCAGAGAACTGGAGCATACCTACCTGTAATCAGGGTCAACATTGAAGCTTGCCCCTTTCAGCTCATCCAAGGTCAGGAAGCTGGGAGTGGCCTTACTGGCTTCCCACTTCATCCATTCGAAGAGCCCGGGTTCCACTCGTATCTTAAGCTTCTTCTCCAGTTTGAGCTCTGCGTTCAGTGGAAACAGGTGCTAATTATTGTCGGTTACATAGAGAAGTCTCTTCACAGCTAGATCAGACCTACATGTGGCTGTAACTAAAACCTGTCACAGATGTGACTTTTCTATGGCAAATATTGTCCTGGGATTTAAGTACAGCCCTTGTCATCTCTGAGACCAGGCAGTGAGAGGAATCAGGACGGACAGCTTGCGGTGCATCAGGAAGGAGCCAGCCATGCTCCCTTGGCTGGGGAGACACCACAGGCAGCAGGCCCACCTAGGAGGCTTGCTATGACCCCAAACACAGCTCCACGGCTCAACCACCACCACAGCCTCACCACAGCCACACCCTCAGTTGAGTCTAAAAGCATTCCATAAAGAACATGACCAATCACAGGTGATATTAGTGACACAAAATCTTGATGGACACTTGGCCAAGATGGGACAAGTGCTGAAGAATGGAAGGGAAGCATCTAGAACATTCTGATTCCTCACAGCTCACCCTTCTCAAGCATTTTATATTTTGACCAAAAGACTTGTCAAGTAATGTCGCCCCTGAATGGGGAAAATGTAGTGAAGAAGGGTTTGGGCTAGGGCAGGGTTCTCACGCTAAAGCAGAACAAAGGGGGCTCCCACCCACTGCTGTACACACCTTCATGACCCCCCCAGAGCTGTGAGCACAGATGATTCCCATGGCCGTGCGGTGCCGTGTGAAAAGGACCCGTGAATGGCCTTCTGACACACGTCAGCCCAGGAGTGCTGGACAGCTCCCTGTCTGTGAAGGGCCATACATTTTGGATCTAGAAGGGACCACAGCAGCTCTCTGGGCTTGTGATAGCCCCTTTCCAGGCCTTTAGACACTTGGCAGATGGGAGCCAAAGGGGTACAGCGTGATGACAGGCTCTGATCCTGTGACACCAGCTTCTGTGGGTCCTACAATCCGGGCATTTGGGATGTTACCTAAAAGCATTCCATAAAGAACATGACCAATCACAGGTGATATTAGTGACACAAAATCTTGATGGACACTTGGCCAAGATGGGACAAGTGCTGAAGAATGGAAGGGAAGCATCTAGAACATTCTGATTCCTCACAGCTCACCCTTCTCAAGCATTTTATATTTTGACCAAAAGACTTGTCAAGTAATGTCATCCCTGAATGGGGAAAATGTAGTGAAGAAGGGTTTGGGCTAGGACAGGGTTCTCACGCTACAGCAGAACAAAGGGGGCTCCCACCCACTGCTGTACACAACTTCATGACCCCCCCAGAGCTGTGAGCACAGATGATTCCCATGGCGGTGCGGTGCCGTGTGAAAAGGACCCATGAATGGCCTTCTGACACACGTCAGCCCAGGAGTGCTGGACAGCTCCCTGTCTGGGAAGGGCCGTACATTTTGCATCTAGAAGGGACCACAGCAGCTCTCTGGGCTTGTGATCGCCCCTTTCCAGGCCTTTAGACACTTGGCAGACGGGAGCCAAAGGGGTACAGCGTGATGACAGGCTCTGATCCTGTGACACCAGCTTCTGTGGGTCCTACAATCCGGGCATTTGGGATGTTACCGGTTCATTTCTACCAGAAGCTCCTGGAGGGCTGGTTCCCGATGGCCTTTTGGCTTTAGATGTGGCTGTCCCTTGACCATCATCCCGTTCCACCTCCATGCCCTCCCTGTTCCCCATGGAGAGAAGCCTCAAGGTCAAGGCAACAGGTAAAGGTCACCAAGGTTCTTGCTCACCTTCCAGGATGTGCTTGGCTGTCTGCACACAGCGCAGGGCTGGAGAGGTAAAGACCGCAGTGACCCTGATGCCGCTGTCCAGCAGTGCGTCCCCTGGAAAGGAACAGGTAGGAACACCCTTTGTATATCAGCCAATGACAGATGGCTTGCTCCTGTGGCAGGCGGGGATGCCTGAAGCCTCCACCTCCTGCTGTATACACCGAGTTGGGATGAAACGTTTGACTGTGACCATCACTTGTTCTTGTGACTACGTTATGCTGTGTGCTGGAGGGGAGTGGCCCAGGGGCCAGCGAGGTCCCCTCCAGCTGGCCACAGAGCAGAAGTGGAGTCACTCACATGGCGTGTGAGTCATTCTTCTGTGGCTGTATTGAAAGGTGGAGAGGCCCGAGGGACAAGGATGGGCACAGACCCAGAAGCAGAGAGCGGCCTCCAGCTGATTGCAACCAGGGAAGGCCTCTGTCCTGCACCGTGGAGGATCCGAGTTCTGTCCGTAGCCTGAGCCAATCCGGAAGGACGCCTGGGGTGGCCCCAGCTGACGCTGATTTCTCAGGGACTGAGAACACACCCAGGCCCTGCCGAAGTGGGTACTGCTTTGTACCTTTGTGGTCATTTGTTGTGTAGCAACTGAAGTCTCAAGGCCAGCCACCGCTCGTGGGGGGACAATCTGCAGCCAACCACGCTTTCTCTGTGACATCAGAAGATGTATAGGAGGTGCCTGCCATCAAACCTGAGGAAGCTTGGGGGCCTGTCATGGGTGGGTTGGGATCCTGACTGCTGCTGCCTCAGGATGAGCCCCTCTTATCTGTGGCTCAGTAGCCAGTGATTCAACCAGCGTGAATCAAAAATATCAGGGAAATCGTGACTGTGCTGAATATGCACAGATTTTATGTAAAGATTATGCTTTTTATATATGAAATTTGAGTATAGATTCTATATTCGAGGGAGGTCCTGGAACCCATCCCTCAGGCATACCAAGGGACCACTGAGAGAAAGTTAAAACAAGGACGGGTTCTACACTAGCAAGTCTGACTACTTCTAAAAAGGAGAAAATAGAATACAGAAACAGACACAGGAAAGGGTGCTGGAACGGCTCCACTGAGCTGCTGCGAGAACCTGGGTGCAGGTTTCCCTCACGGCCTCAGAAGGAACTCACCTGTTGGCACCTCGGCCTCGGACTTCAGCCTCCAGCACAGTGAGGTGATAATTGATGTCACCCAGACAGTGGTGCTGATAGAGCAGTTGAGAGCACTTATCACCCTCAGAACCTGTCCCCCAGCGCTCCCAGATACACAGCCCGAGAGCTATCCAAACACCTCAGTGAGGAGTTAGGCATGAAGACAGGACAGCCAAGCACACATACAGGCTCACATGACACGTGTGTATTCCTGTGCATAGACCTAAGGGAGGAGGGGCTCCACTGGGCTGTGTGCTCCTGGTTCATACCAACCCTGGAACCAGCCACAGTGTGAACACAGCCCATCCTGCCACAGGGCTGGTTGGTGAGACCCTGTGCTCTCATCCAGGGTGGGGAGCGGGGATGCTGGTTCTGGCGGGTTCCTTCAGCTAATCAGCTGGGTACTGGGATGCCCATTTAGATTCAACTTTCTGAATTTACAAGCTGAAAACCAGAGGGACTCAGTGATCTCGTCTGCTCCCTAAATTAGATCTCACGAATAAACAGTCATAAACCAGAAGCCCAGAGTGCCAGGTAGTGTGGTGGGGCCCATGAGGTGGGATGCTTCCTAAAGTTTTGTGAGGTGCCTGTGGATGTGCAGGTGCATGTCTGTGTGTAGGTGGGTGTGGAGACCAGGGGTCAACCCCAGGAGCCATCCTCAGGCATGCTGTCCACTCTTTTGTTTGAGATGGCATCCCTCACTGGCTCGGAGCTTGCCAAATTGGTCAGGCTGATTGGCCAGCGAGTCCTGGGGAGTCACCTGTTTCTGTCTCCCTAGTGCTGGGATTACAAGTGTTTACCACCACACCAGGATTATTTTGTGGGTTCTGGGGATCAAACTCAGGCCTTTGTGCTTGGTGGCAAATACTTTACTGACTGAGCCATCTCCCTAAGTCAGTTTTTAATTTTTAAAACGACACCTTTGATGCATACCATAGTTGCTGATTTTGCCCTCCCTCCTCGTTCTACCCTCTCTCTATTTTATTCTTTGAGAGCACCCAGCCATCCATTCCTGGATCAAACCTCTGCACTTTGGTTCACTGGCTGTGTGACCTTGGGTGACTCACCTGGCCTCTCTGTGCCTGTATCAGCAGGATATGGAAGTTGCCAGGACTGATACCAAAGGGTATAACTGTGGCTCTGTGCACACTGCCATCATCATTACCATTTCTCCCCTCTGGAACACCCTCAAACATACCAGCAAGTCTGGACTGGAAAATTCCACAGGATGATAATGGCGGGTCGTTTTCGAAGTCTTTGATGCCATTACTTCGCCTGGGCAGGCTTGGGGGGAAGTTCAAGTCTGGCCGGTAGTACTTTCCTAAAGCAGAAATAACTGGTTGGCAACTAGCTGTGATCAAGTCAGACCACATTTGTCCCCCTAAACCCCAAAACCAGGATCCATGCTATGGAGGAGGCCATTGCCTAAGTTATTGTCAACAGTGCTGTTTCTGGAACATTCTCTGTGATGGGGACTCAATTCAAGGAGCAAATGCTGCTTTGCAGACCTGTAACACATCCTCGAACACAGAGCCCTTAGGTTGGAGTCCCAGGGGCTGGGAGGTCTCTTTGTCCTTCCTGTCCCTCATGAACAGCCACTCATTTGAGGAAGGAGAACCTCAGGTCTCCAGCTGGGTTGATTTAGCTGGATAAGCTTCTCCAGCAGGCATGGATTAGTTAGGTGCAGCCTGCCCATTCCCAAAGCTCGCCACGTGTGTTGCTGCTGGTGGGACAGTGTGCACCTGGTTGGAGGTGCTTAAATGCAGAACTAGAAATTAGGGGCTGCCTCTGAGGTCTCTGGGGATGCCCAGGTCAGAGTCTGCATGACACTCAGGTTCCCTTGAATTTTGAGCTTTAAGCTCTATCAACCCGTTATAAATTCTGCCTAGCCTCCCCCACCCCAGGCCCGAACTGAGTGATGAGTGACGTAATTTCTCTCATCAGTGAACAGGGAAAACCAGAACGGTCAGAGTCACTGAGTTGATGCCCAGGGCTTGGCTAAGGCATGTGGTCAACACGTATGCAGGGGGGAGGAGGGTCTGTCCTGCACAGGATCCATCAACCTTGCAGAGGACACCGCCACGCAGCACCCTCCCATGCACTCCCTCCTGCATTCACAGCCTCTCAGGCGATCCCAACACCTGGGGCTGCTGGTGCATTACAGCAGCCATGGTGATGTGGCTGCTCCGAAGGGTGGCACCCCTGGGATCTGGTGTCCCCCAAGGACTCTGCCAGTCCCGCGTACTGGGTCTGTGGGCCCGGCCTAGAGCCGTCTGGACTCGACCTACCATCTGTGGTGGAGCACTGCTGCAGCCAGGACTTCCCGAAGACCTGGTCCACTCTCTCCCCGTGGCGCACCACCAGCATGCCTCTCCTCATGATGGTGGCCTGGGGTGGGGACAACAGGGCACCGGGTTACTAATCAGATTCATCTGCAGTGTCCACCAACCATCAGCCTAGAGAGGAGCCTCCTGAGCTGTCCAGCAGCTGCAGGGCTCCACAGTGATGAGGCTGGGCTGCTCCTGCTTCTTCCTAAGTTTATTTCCTGGGCTCCAGGGCTTCAAAGAGGAAATGACGAGAGGACTCACCGCACCACAACCACCTACTTCTCTACGTTTCTGTCTCTTCCAAGTCCCTATCCTTTCATAGAGACCTCTTACAGGAGAGAGCTCTCTGCTGGCTCTTCTACCCTCCTTGTCCCCATATTTTAATGTATTACTATATATATGTATATATATATTTCTACCTATCTGTAACACCTATCATCTGTTTATCATCTATCTACATCTATCTATCTATCTATCTATCTATCATCTATCTATCCATCTGCCTATTCATATGAAGAAGTAAGGCTTAGCATTATCATCTATCTATCTATCTATCATCTATCTATCTA